ATGCTCCAATGCGCGTTGGCGCAGGAGGAAACAGCTTGGGCAAGGTGTCAGTACGGTCTACCTTTGAACCTTCCTAGCTAACATGAACATAAAGTGCCGTATGCGCTCTTAACCCGCTGAACCTCGTATCATGCCAATTTCTCCGATCATACGCGTCGCGAGGCGTGAATGCGCCACAATGTACCATCTTGCAGGCCGCGTGTGCGACGGTAGCCGCTCCGGATGCTTACGAACCAGTCTCCATAGGAGAAGGAGATGATGTAATGACTTATATTGGCGCGATGAACGGATATGCAAACCCGACCAACGAGATGCTCAAAGAAGCCGAGAAGATACTAGGCAAGGACAGACTGGTCGCTACAATTATCAGCGTTGGATCCGGGAAATTGGATCTAATCCATCAACAAGGCTCTGTCAACGATATATTGAAGCGAGCACTCTTGGATACTGAGCGGGTCCATAACAATTTACAAAGCCGCTTTGGAGACCTTGGGATCTACTATCGATTCAACGTAGAGAACGTCATATCTATGAATAGTAGAGAAGCGACAAGAGTACAAACTGCTGCATATTTAGAAGAGGAAACTATCAACCAGAGGATGGATGGAGCGGTCAACTCAGTACACGAACGCAAAGGACTGAAGCCTATCAAAGAACTAAGTACAACATCCTCTATCTACACCAATTCTAGCATCTAATTCCATTCTAGACTCGATTTCAAAAGTGGAGATCAAATATCGACAGCGTCCAGGTGTCGTGACGTTCTTTGTAGGACGGCAAGATATAATCGATCGACTTTACGAAACACACATACGAAATGCTGTCCCTGAAGGTGACTATCCTACCATCAGCGTTTTAACCGGCCTCGGTGGTTCTGGCAAGACTCAAATAGCATTACGATTCGCAAAGCAGTTCGAAGCAATGTAAAACCGTTATTTATACTCTGAACGCCGCTGATTAAAATTTCTAGCAACCCGAAACTACTTGTTTTCTTCGTCGACGCAAGCTCAAAAGACCAACTCAAAGAGGATTATCAAGCTATTATCCGGTCCCGCGGTATCGCGCATCGAACCTCAACTTGGGAACACGCTCTTCAGTGGCTCGCTTATACAGGCGAACCCTGGCTGATTATAGTCGACAATGCGGATGATCCCAATCTTGACCTACACCCATTTATGCCCAAATGTCCCCGTAACCATATTATTATTACAACCCGAAATGTCAATAAAGGGTTGATGGCCCGGACACACACCTATCATGTACAAGAATTAGCTGCCGATGACTCCGTCAAGCTATTGCTTGGCGTATCTGGCTATGATTTGAACGAGGTCAATGATGGGTACGCGAAGGCCATAGTCAGTGCTTTGGGTCACCTTCCGCTTGCCATAGCGCAGGCGGCAGGCTACATCTACAAGCACAAATGCCTTTCCAGCTACCTCAAATTATTTGAAGAAAGTAAAGAAAAGCTTTTAGCACAGAAAGTCATGGAATTGCCGCATGGATATAACCTCTCTGTTGCGACTACTCTCGAAATGTCCTTCGACAGACTCCCTCTTCGATCCAGGCAAGCCCTGTGTATACTGTCGTACCTCCACAACACCTCAATTCCGCACAAGATAATTGAGATCGCATCTCAGAACAAATTCTTCTATGCATCTGGCAAAGCGAGCGACGCAGATACGGAGAAACTAGCCGAAACCAAGGCCGAGTCCGAAGCACTTTGCAAAATCTTCTGTCCTGCAGAGAAATGGTCGGAGGTGGAATTTTATGAGATCATTGAACCATGTCTCCAGTATTCACTTTTGCTACCCACGACGTCAGTGGACGATCAAAAATTCTATTCGATGCATATACTGGTCCAATCTTGGTTACAGATGCAGTCAACTCCTAACGCCCAGCATTCATCGAGACTGTTAGCGAAGAGAATGTTGTTGGCAGTTGTTCAGGAGGGTGAACACTATCAGTATCTCAAACTTCATCAGATTCTTCTACCACACCTCAGAACATTTGCTGGTCAATCTCTGGGAGTTGCGACTGATGATGCTCTGATGTACCAGGTACTGAGTGATTGTCGGGATGATTCGACAGCATTGGTACACATAGCATCATACATGGACTTGGTGAACAGTACATTGGAACCGGATGCTCCCGAGAGACTCAAAGCTCTTCGAGATCTCACATACGCCCGAGTAATGACGGGTCGTCTTCACGAGGCTGTAATAGCTGGAGAGGAAGCTGTAAGATTATGCATGGAGTCTCTTGGAAGAGATGCTCCGTGGACTTTGCAGTCGAAGCTCAACCTAGCTTCCGCCTACAGATCCGTGGGGCAGTATGAGGATGCCCGGAAAATTGATGAAGAGGTGTTAGAGGATAGTAAGAAGTTATTGGGAACAGAGCACCCGGACACATTGACAGCAATGGGAAGTCTGTCAGAAGACTACACTTATTTGGGAGAATACAAAAAGGCTCTACAGTTGGATGAAGAGACACTAGAATTGCACAAGAGATTATTGGGACCAGAGCACCCGGACACTCTGGGCTCAATGCACAAGTTGGCTGTGGATTACGGGGATTTAACAGAGTATAAGAAGTCTCAGGAGCTGAATGAAGAGACGTTGGCCTTGATGAAGAAGGTATTGGGAACGGAACACCCCAGTACCCTGACCTCAATGGACAATTTGGCGTTAGCTTACAGCAATTTGAAGGAGCACGAGAAAGCTCGAGAGTTGAACGAAGAAACATTGGCATTACACATGAAGGTCTTGGGACCGGAACACCCTAGTACCCTGATTTGCATGAGCAATCTAGCCTTCTGCTACAACAGTTTAGAGGAGTACAGGAAAGCTCAAGAGTTGAACGAAGAAACATTGGCATTGCACGTGAAGGTGTTGGGACCGGAACACCCTGATACTCTGATTTCAAAGAGCAATCTAGCCTTCTGCTGGAGCAA